TCTAAAGCTGCATTTAAGGTGATTAGTAATGTGAGGTAATATTCACTATGCCAGAAGCTATTCAAAAAAGCTTTTTTCCCACCTCATTCATTTATACTTTATCACAAAAATCTCATCATGAAAGCACAAAAACTTCAAATTGTATTCAGATTGTGCTGTTTTCTTCTTCAATCTCCGAAAGAGATACTTCAAAATGCTCCAAAAAAGCATTTTGAAGTATCTCAAAATGCTCCATAGTGTTTTTTTTGTTTTTTTTGTTAGCACGTTTATGGGAAAAGTTGAACAAGTTTTATGAAAGACCAGTTACAATATACTCATTTCGATTCTACATAAATGAGACATTTATCCTATTTTTTTTTCCCTACATGATTACTTGGAGCTCTATGTCAAAAGCAAAAGAGTTTTGAAAAGTTTTTTCTGATTTATATTGCATCTTACCGAATAGAGCATGGAAGTAGATGTACATGGATAATGCATAAAACATTCTTAGTTGTGATGCATGAATAAGGGAAAAATGTTTATTTTCAAGTCTATTAGGGACAAACATGTCAGAACCAATTAAGACTTATTATATGGTGCATTTCAACAAAATATTTGTGAAAGTTGTAGTTTGATTTGTGGAAAATAGTCTTAAACCTTGGTATGTGAACTGCCTCATAAAAGCATCTAATTATCAATTCTGGTTCTTCTTTTCCTGTCAACGTAATGTTTGTAATGCTGATGTTTTACTTTGAATCCCTTCCTCTTTCTTTTTCAGCTAAAACTGCAGTGTAAGCAAAGAAGTCTAAAACGAACCTGCTTTAGGGAAATCGCGATTTTTTAAACACTGTTTTCTGGAAGTTGAATTTGAGGTTAAAACACTTAAACATAGCTTATAAAGATTTTTTTAAGGGGCAGGTTCCAATGACTGCTTCTTTCTGATGAACTCCTACTGGGCTTTGTCAAAGGGCACTTTCACCCTTCTGAGCACATTTGCATACAAAGTGAAGGCAGAGAAAACATGTTTCACACTAATTGTCTGCTCCTTTATTGTCAGGGTTAATGCAGCCCTCGGGGGTCCTACAGCATCCCCTTTTACTTGAGCACCATAGCGCAACAGTAAGAAAAGGCTCTGTTTAAATTTACTGCCCTCTATCTGCCACTGGCATGCACTAAGCTCCCCTGGGGTTCTGTGGAGGATTAGGCCATCTTCTTTGACACCCTCAGTGAGTTTGTAAGAAAGCTTCTCTTTGTTCTTTATTTGGAGTCTCAAGAGGAAAAACATGATTACAGCAATTAAGTTGCATCTACTGTATAGAACCCAAAGGAGCCTAATCTAGGTCTTGGTCTATCAAATGAGTAGTTAATCTGTCCAAAAATAAGATACATGGGAGGAAGTTATCCCATTGATGAGGAAAGGAGGGGTGCCAGAGGAAGCAGTTCCCACGGCTTTTAGGAGTTGCATGTTAGTAAGCGTGCACAATCGCCTGTCTTCTTCTGTTTTTTCTTCGAAAGGGTGAAAACATATTAGAATGTGGACAGCGTCCTGCTGTGAGAAGGCCCATCCTCTGTGTGGGGCTTCAAGGAGGATGGGCACAACTCAGTCCCACCATAGGAGCCAACAAGCCCACCCAATGGACAGCTCCTCTCCCCAAGAGACTGCTTATCATTAGTCCAGAGAGTAACAACATAATGAAACATATTGGGAACAAATCACTGGACGTTTGTGTGGTTTCCATGATACTGATCAACCGAACTCTTGCCTGTCAGGTGATTTACTGTGTCCTCTAAGAGTTTGTATCAAATGTTTGCCCAAAAAGGATTTTAATTTGTTGATTCTTGTAATTTGATAACTTTACATAAAAATACTACAGCTTTGAGGTATCAATAATAATAATAATAATATTAAAAGTACGGCATAGCGTTTACCTCCTTTCTATGCAAAACAAAATTGGAAATCCAGATTAAAAAATGTCTTTAATTCTGGAATTGCCATGAATATGAAGCACAATGGTTAGGAAAAAAGCTTTTTTAAACACAGGGCAGTTTCCTTCTTTTCTTGATGCTCAGTCAGCAGGACAAATGAACAAAGGAGTGGCTTCTCTAACTCCTCCAATGTCCGCTATCTGTCGGAAATTCTTAAAGGAGTTTAAGCGCGAAGCCCCTTGAAAAATGCTTCACTTCCTTCATTGTAGCATCATGGAGCCAGCTTTGAAGCTGTGTCTAGATCCTTTGACATTCCCTTTTGATCCCTGAGCGCAGTCACCTGAGGCGATTGTGTATTAGATTTTTTTTTATGTGCTCTGGTCTAGAGAAAAACCATTTCAGGTAACATTTAGTATACATGTTCCATCAACAAGTTTCAGAAATATAATTTAGCAAGAATGAAAAGCGCATATACATAATTATCACTGAAAGCAGTAAGTTGTGTTTGTGCAGTTTGCAAAGAGCCTGCACACTGAAACGCAGAACAAGGACATCCGTTGCCATGACAGGGAATAAAAATGTTGCATTACGCAGTGCTGAACATGCAAGCAACTGCAGATCCCAGATGACTGTTCTTGACACTGATGTCTGTTTGGATAACAGATCAAAAGAAATTACTGCAGCTGAATCAATACCGTGCAACTTTGTGCATTTAATACTCCTTCAGGACACTTTAGTCTGTCTACATTATGTAACTTCTACCACTGTTTAAACTCAGGGTTTTCTCTGGTTGGAGAGATAGGGGTCAGAATCCATTGGCAAAGTTCCAGGGGCCTGGCAAAGGAAAACAAAATTAACAGATCTTTGTTCAATGAATATAGTTCATGACATTTGCCTGACATATTAATGAGGAAATCCAAGTTTTTTATTCAGTTGAGTGAGATTTTGATAGAAAACGACGTTTAAACGTTTAAAGAGCAGTTTGCATAATCTCAGTGTATAAATTAGTTATCTTTTATTGTAAAGTGAAACCAGCTTTTTTTTTTTTTTTTTTACAACAGAACACCTCAGAAATGGCAAATATAGACTCTGAGCCCAAATTGGTGCATGCTTTCAAATTAACTGCAGGTTTTTTAAGACTTAGAATATTGATTGAAGAGCTATTCTAATGCTGACCATAAAAACCTTGCTCTTTGTTCTTCTTTCTACAGTTTGTATAATAGGTGACCTAAACCAAAAATTAAAATTAAATAACAAAGTTAGGTCAAAAAATCACCCTTTTAATACAGCTTTGAAATAATGACACTCTCCCCTTGTATTTATACCACCGCTATATTTTCTGTTATGTGAATTTGATAGCCCTAAGCAGGTGTTAAACTTGCTTAATTTTAGACCAGCTCTCTATAAACCATTCAGCTTTTATGAATGAGGTGTTCAGAATAAGAGGGGTTGAGAAATTTTACAGTAAGCTAAAAAAGTTAAAGTAAACAAGGTTCCATGAATATCTTTTTTTTTAAGGCTTTTCAAGGATTAGATTTGGTGGTAACACAAATTGCAGGGTCATTGCATGTGCAAAAATCTGTCCTTAATTCAACTATAAGATGTATATTGAAATATACCTTTGAGACCTTAATAAACTTGGCTCTTATAATAATATGCATAGGTATAGGCAGGACCAGACCCATTTTTATTGGCCACAAAGCCTAATATATATCTTCTGTGCTCCATAAAACTGTACCAATCATATCTCAACAAAAAGTTGTATGCATAAACAACAAAAATTTAATAAAGATCCCCAGGAAGGTGTAATGGAATAATAAAAGATGGATAAAGGAAGGGTGTTTGTTTGAATAATTTTGTATTTTGGAGCCACTGATTTGCAAAAAAAAAAGGGTAGTGTTTTTAAGATACCGGTATGTTCAAAATTAATGTCCGGTTATTTAACCTGGAAGTTGTTTCTTTGCTTTATGAGCACCTATACAGCATCAGAGTAAGTATGTGTGTATCTATATGAGACCAGCACTATTTTGTGTGTTTTATATATTTAAATAAATAATTTTAAAAAACACAATCACAGGTGGGATTCTTTAGGCTCTATTAAGTTTGTTCTGTAACTAAAAACTCAGGTTATGGGCTAAAATGTTTTACTATGATGATGTCACTGGTGGTCATTCTTTCATTTTATAAACACAGAACATAATAGTTCCTTTTGGCCTTACTATTAATGAGCCACAACTTCCTCAAGCTTAATTCAGAAAAGACAGAAGTCCTTTTTTTTTTGGTTAAATAAATGTCTGGTTAGGGTTTAACATAGACTCAATCTTCATAAAGAAACTTTGGTGTGAACATGGAATCAAACCCTACATGAAAATTAAACAGCCGCACATCTAAAAATCTGCTGCCAGAGTCCAGACTGAAACAGATAAAATACAAAATATCATTATCCCAGTTTGAGAGGGAGATATCATTCCCCTATCAAGCTCTCTGAAAACCTGAGATGTTCAACCTTTTTTTGCTAGAGCTATGCCCATAAAGTTAAAAAAAAATGTCTTTATCAGCTTATTTTTATCATGTCTTGCTTAAAAAAACAAATTAATTGTTTCCTTCCTAAATGGTGCCACACACACACACACCCACACATATCTGCCACTAAAGATAATTTAAATATCCATGCAACAGCTGAAAGTTTGGGTCAGAACTGCGCTATTTCAATATTGAGCCACAATCTCGTTGCTCCATGGACATTAGATCAAATGCATTTAAAGAGTCTGACTCTTAAAAGGATTTATATAAATATATATACCTGTACCACTCCAGTCCCTTGTCGTAGTTGCGGTCAAAGAAGTGCGGCTCTGCTCCCACCGCCCTTACATCTGGATGCAGGCGCAGAAACTCCAGCAGCGCTCGGGTTCCTCCTTTCTTCACCCCGATTATAATGGCCTGGGGCAACTTTTTACTCTCCGTCTCATTAAGAAAACCTGACATATCATCCAGCGCCTTCGCTTCACCTCTTACTTCTTCCCAGTCGTCTCCTCTGCTGTCCAACTCATTCTCGTTATTCAGTAGGTCTCTGGACGCTCCTAGAGAGGAGCCTCGGCTGTCTCGTCTGCGCACTGAGCCGTGCGTCAGGTTCGGGACTGTGGAGCAGTAGCCAACGCAGCAGTATATCATGTAGACCCAGAGAGACAACATGATGCAGAAAACGAAGAGTTTATTCCTCACGTGGGATGATGGCACAACATGGAAGCCGAGTAAAAACGGACTATATTCCATAGGAACTCCGCGGAAAAGTTGGATTCCAGCTTTAAGGCATCTTGGTGTCGCAGTCTGACTCCTCTGACGCGGTGGAGATTCTGTGCGCAATTTCCCAAAACACAGATGATGCTCAGAATGGAGAATAATATTGGAAATTATGTGAAAGATTCAGCCTTCTTTTCACTAAACATGCCCTCCGAGCCACAAAGGTTAATTACTTTTTATTTTCAAACATGCAAAATCAGAGATTCAGGCGCTATAATGAGTTGATCGGCTGCCAGCGCGCATTAGTTTGCCTCCTATCACTTGTTCTCAGTGTGTGAGCCTTCAACCAGAGGAGCGCTCATTATCAGCTGTGTCAAGTGCAGGAGATTCACACTTAACATAGTTTCCTGCTTGACCTGTCAAAATAAAAGCAAATCAACGTCTGAATTTTCCAAAGAAATACAAAAAATTGCTTACGCATATTCAAAAATATTTCAAATACACCTTCATAATAGCTATAAGTTAGATTTGATGCATGAACTCTAACGTGAATTTTACTTGAAAAAAAATAAATAAGCAAATTTTTGAAAATGTTATAACCTATATATATATATATATATATATATATATATATATATATATATATATATATATATATATATATATATATATATAAAGCCTCAAGTGTTTACATTTCTTTGAAAAGAAAAATCAATAAGCCTTTTATTCTGAAACAAGGAGATTACATTTGTTTACCTGTCTTATCGTCTGTATCTGCTTGGAAGCAGATGAACTTAGAGAATTAGAAAACAGTGTTTACACAAACAATCTACCATCCAACACTTAATACAAATAAAATAATGTCAAGATTTTCTATCAATTCTTTCACATTTCAACTTAAAAAGTCGAATTGAAAGAGAGCTTTTAACATACTTTAACCTGTTGCTTCTATGAAATCCTGTTAAGTCTGTTGGTCTTAAAAGAGAAGCAATCCTTACAAGAACAAAGTATGGGTGAATGTATTGCTTACAATAGGGTAATGATGAAATCTAATTAAATCTAAGATTTCATTTGTTGTTCAATTACAAATTAAAGTTGCCAAAGTTCTGCAGAGGTTCGCAAATCCAAAGAAATAAGATAAACAATAGCATTCATATATAGTGTTATAATATCATAAGATCAGATAATTTAATTACATGAATAATAAAAATCTGTTATTAAACTATCCTTATGCTTCCGCTCAGCTGAAAATAAAACCAAATTAAAAACATGAGTCATTAAAAGAGCCATAAAACCCTGGATAGTCATAAGAAAGAAAGAGTAAAAAAATTGTGATGAACTATTATTAAAAAAAAAAACAGTATTGTATTGCCACGGTCAAAGATAAAACCCATTTTCACCATAATATTAATTTATTTTTATTATTTGTAATTAGGATGTTTAATTTACCTTGTTGATATTTTTTTCATTCTACGGTACCCAAATTAATAACTATGGTCAAACCATTTTGTTGGCTGACTTGGAAAATAATGCTGTATACGAATATATTAAAGAGTAATAACCACACTAGCTCCAACAGTTATTAATGTTTTACACACACCAATGCTTATCATAAGTTATGACTGATTAGATAATGTTTCTGCAAAGACAGGAGGTTAATTTGAAGTTAATGATCTGATACCTGCTGGGAGCAACGTGAGGCAGAACAAAAAGAAATGTGCCAGGCTTCACCTGTTATGTGACACAGTATAGAAGGCAAACCGTTTGACTAGGTTTGAGTCATAACTGGGCGTAACAGTTTAACTGGTCGCTCATGTAATTTTTCCCAAATGTGAACACCGAGTTCACAAAACAAACCTTATCAGCTGATTTCCAGGATCCATAAAGGTTTATCATTTACCCATGGAAGCTGTGCATTCTCTGCAGTTTCCAATAATTCTGAGAATAGAATTTGAATTTTCTTGAAATCCAAAAAAAAAAAAAAGTTTGCATCTGTGTTAACACCTCCTTTTGGAGCAGGGTCAAAGGCCTTTGGTCCTTCAGCACCCCTGAGCTGGCAGAGGATTAGCAGGATTACCACGGAGCTGCCATGTCACTCAGAGTTTCTCCAGAAACGTCCCTGCCCCCTCCATCTAAGCCCCTTATCACATCTATGTCAGACGTTGCTATATATGATATACTACCTAGTGTGTTTGTGTGTGTGTCTTTGCAAGACCCATAGTGGTGTTTACACAGTGCATGAGCAGAGATAAATGCTAAAAAACAAGCATGCATTCAGAGATTTGTTTAACCCAGACAACTATTTACAGGACCTTTTTAATACTGGGCACAACTTGAGTGTGTGTTTGCACAATCACGTCTCAGCTGAGTTAAACTTGAACCGCCCTCTTTTTTAAAGTATTGATTTTTATTTAGTATTTTATTTAATTGTGTATTTTATTTTTTTATTTATTTATTATCATTTTATTCAGTATTTCTAAAGTCTCACCTTTTGTTTTAATTCACAAAAATTAAAGATGCAAACAGTTTCCTAATACTTTATTCCAAATTAACTTCAGAATAAAGCAAAAGATAAGAAAAAACATTTTTGCATTTCCTTGTGGTGGTCTATCTCATAAAATCCTGATAGAATACACTGCAGGTCTTAGGTTCTTACTTGGAAAACTGGGAACAAGTTTAGCCCTATCAACACTTTTCAAACACATTTTGGTTTAATTATTGTGGGTTATTTACAATGGGTAAAAAAAATAAATGATAATTAGAAGGACATTATATTGTTTTACTTTGAAAAGGCACAGCACTTAAAAATTGTATAGTGTTTATAATGTATTTTTTTCATATGCTTCTCTTTATGAGTAAAAACACAGTTCGCTCGAGGCAAAAGATACCCGCAGACGAACAGCATGTAAGCGGGCACACCCTGGTAAGTTTCAGAAAGGTGTGTCTTCACTAATTTGTTTCATCAATCATGAAAGACTGCTCTATGCGTCACCTCATAAGGACTGAGGACAAGAAAACTCCGTAGGAAGTAGTCAGCTTGGTCTGAAATTAAACAAAATGAACTCTGTTAACGTGGAGCACCTCAGGAGCCTAAACAGATGACATAAACGGCACTTAGTGCAGCTCATACATAAAAGCCAGACAGTTAAATAAAGGCCTGCAGCTGGACGCACTGATCCAGCTGTCATTGATGCTATGTGTGTTGTCTAGTGTACTGTATACTATAAATAAATTAACATGATCTCATCCTTGTGTGTTACAGCTCTGGGGCTGGGTTACTTATTTCAGTTGAATTAAAATAATTAAAGAAGGTTGAGGCAATTTGTTTGGACAAAGTTTCCCAATGGGAAACTTTTCTCGCTTATACCTGATCTTACTTTTCACCTTTTTCTCATCAGTATGCTTCCAACATAGACTTTTCAGCATTCCAGCAGTTGTGTGAAAAAAAGAAGAAGGCAGGTGGAAATGAAAGCCATCTGTGTTCCTGTGCGCTGCTGTGTGAGCGGTTAAAATACGCTGCAACTTTTGACTAAAACATATAGTAAAATATGCAAAAAAAGCATAAACAGTCCTCATGCTGCACTGCAGCAGAGATCTCCAGATGTAGAAGATCAGAACCAGTTAAAAGGGGTAAAAAACAAAAAGGAACTGATGGATGATCTCATTCTGTGCTCTGTCCCAGAAAGAACAAACAAATGCAAACAACAGCAGGGACAGGCTGATCCTCACGCACGCAAAGCCTTGAACCTAATGACAGGGTTATTAGGTGAGCTGAGAGAAAGATCAACAGTGCTCTGTTTCCATTAGTCCCTCATCAAGGTCTTGAGCTCCAGCTAAAGCCATTTAAGATGTCCACAAATGCTCCAGAGCTCTGCTACAGACCATCTTATCTTCTCTTAACAAATGAATGTAGCTTGAGCGGATTTACTTACTTACTTGATCCTTTGGAAAAAGTCTTATTGCCTTACCATATCCCTCTGGATACAGAGGGAGCCATTTGGCAGGTTAGAAATCTCAAAGTGGCTTAGATTTTCTGGCTCTGCTAAGTCTTGCACAAGGCTAATGCTCTTAACTCTCTACAGGTTACTAGAAGAGACATTCATACCTCCATCCATTTGGGAATGATGATTTGATTTGCATTTCTGACTTGACACATCTGTTGTTTCACTTTGATGTACTTTCCAATTGAAATGAAAGCATATTTTGCATAAAAACTCAGGTTATACCTTTTGGGAAATATTTACAAAGCAAAATATATTTTGGGAGTTTTGTTTAGTTTTTTTTTTTTCTCTCGTTTCCTCTAACAGTTGTTTCATAGGCAAATAAAGATAGTTATGCACCCCTCATGTGGTTCTTTGAACCTTTTCTTTTTTTGCAATATCCAGATGGTTCACAGGTTCAGTCTCAAGGTTGAAGTGTCTGCAATGTTGCAACTTTATCACCTCATTTTCATGTCTATACTAAGTGAAATTGGACACTTCTGCCTTAAAGAAGAAAAGTTATGTGCTTTGTCAAGAGTTTTATGAGTTTAAATGAAAGATGCTGATGGAGGTTATCCATTTGCTGTTTTTTTCTTTCCATTCTGTTTCTCAAGTCTCAAGTATTTATATCTCTTTTCCCACTTTTTGTAAGGTGACCCCTACAAATTTTATCTACTTTATTAGTATGTTTATTAGTATGTTTGCTTCGATCATTTTAGGAGTGACATGAAACAAGGAAGACATAAAGAGCTCTCTAATTTTTTTTATATATAAATAAAAATGGGGTATACGTACTTGTGGAGTCCGAATTTTACTGCAGAAGCAAATCTTTATATTTCTGTCTCGACAACCTTTGTGTATTTGGAAATTATTTACTCTTTTTTTGCCAAAAGTCTTTGCGTAAGTTGGATTTCATGGATATAAGTGAGCTGAAATGCTAAAGTCAGAATTATAATTTAGATTTAGATCTTGTTCATTCTACACACATATCCAATCTACCGGTAATGCATTTCACTGTAGTTTAGGTTCTCTGTCCTGCTGAAAGGTGAACCTCTAGCCAGTCATTTCCAGTCTCTAAAATATTTTTGTATAAAGCTGAATTCATGATAAGGAAAAGCAGCCCGCCATGCACAGGGTGTAAGGGACATCTGTCCAGGCTGTAGTGTTCCCTGTGATTGTGTAGCCTACTAGAGAAACAATTTAGAGGCTTAGGTAACCTTTGTAGGTCCTTTGACTTCATTTCTGATTAGTTTGGGGTCTCTAATCTCTAACTATTAAACAATATAAAAAAAAATTTTGAGATGTAATATTTTAGGTTTTTAATGTTTGTAAGCTGAAA